TGTCTACAGCAGGCACGGATGCATCCTATGTGCCTATTTCATGATCAGTGTATAGAACAGTGAAGGAGAGTCAGACCATGAAAGCTTGATTTGTGTGCATGACTTAAAGGCAGCGTTCAGGCAAGTTTGAACCTATGAGGGTTTTACGTGAAAAGTACTTTTGGGGCCCTAGTTAAGCCACTGCCCAACCGGCAGCTCAGGTAGTGCCCTAACGGCTGAGATATTCCCCTCGAAACTCGACCCCGCGACCATGTTTCGCATGGATTCATGGCGCAAAGCGTGGATCCTGGAGCGAAAATGCCATGAATCCATGTGAATACGTTCGCGGGGGCCAGTTTCGGGGGGAATATCTCAGCCATTAGAGCACTACATGAGCTGCCGCTTGAGCAGTGCCTTAGTTAGGGCCCCAAAAGTACTTTTCAAGTAGAAACCCCATAGGTCCAGATCTGCTTGGATGCTGCCTTTAAAGGCATTGTCCAGGTCAACTGGGTGGGGGGTCTTGACGCAGTGCGAGAGCAAGGCTCATGGCTAACGCAACAGTTTAAGTCCTATCGAAAAAGTTGGATTCCGAAGCGAGAAAATCGCTTTGGAAAAAAAGGAACGGTACTCCGATCCCGCCCCTTGACAATTTTGACGTGGTGAATGCGCTAGATCTACTGTGTTGGCCATCGAAACCCGTCAAGGAGGCGGGATTAGAGTACCGCCTCTTTTCCTTTTCCTTTTTTTCCTTTTTCTCGCTTCAAAACCCACTTTTTCGATCGGATTAGAAGTGTTGCGTTAGTCAGGAGCAGTGCTCTTACACTGCGTCAATATTCGACAGTGCCTTTAACAAAGTTGGATCTAATACAACATGACCACTCGCCCTCAACCAGAACCGAGAGGAGTAAGCGTAGATATAGGCAAAAGCATGCGTACAGGGGTTTTCAATCTGAGTGTCACGGTCGACGTGGTTCAAGTTCTCGCGAGCCACCTCGCTTGGGTCTCTCACGTGGTACAATACCGCATCCGATACCGCGAAGGCCTTAGCGGATGCGGTGTTGTATCAGGTGAGAGACGCAAGCGAGGCGGCTCGCAAGAACCTGAACCACGTCGACGTGACACTCAGATTAAAAGACCCTGTACGTTGTTAATCAAACGTTGTCAAACACAACATATAGGTAGGTCGCAGGGCAAATGTATCTGGAAAAGGTCGAATAGGTAAGCGCCATACTTTTCCAGTTCAACACGCCCGTCATGATTCACCCGTTCGCTATTCAGCGATTTGACCAAGAAGGAATGGACCGCATGAACCGGACAGGTCTGGCGCCTACCATAAGCCATGCGAAAGCGCGATTCATGGTGACGCCTCTCTGAAAAAAAGTCGGAAGGTTTTGTCGCCCCTCCCAACAACAACAACGATGCATCTCGACTGCCTTGCCCATGTCCTCTTGATCTATTGTCAATCCATGTCCAGATGGTTTCAAACCCTGCCTAAACGCGTCTTTTGACGTCGTCCGTAAAACGTCAGCAGCCTCGCACCGAGGCATGGCCGGATCCTAAATGGCGATGACTGGAATGGTCAAAACAGTGCCCAGCACGCGTCTAGAGCTAATAGGGGCTTCGCATGCTTGGCACAACGCCAACCCTTTGCAAAATTGCAAAACTCCAATTTTGCCTCCGATAAACTGCGGCAAATCCTCTGTTTTGTATTTTCGCAACACAAGCGGAACGTGTAAAGCGAGGGCAGATGGGTAACGCAACGATGGTGATTCGGCTGTTCGCTTCAATATCTGGAACACTGGCAGTAAGGCAACTTGCTTCCAGTTGAATCCTAAATGAGACTCAAAAGCTGTAACGACTCACGAGACGCTATATGCGCTAACAAACATCGACCAACTATACTGATTGGAATCGAAAAAGAATGCGGTACCTCAAGTGGTATTTCACTGATCAGCTGAGGAAGTGATCGCAATAACATGCGTATTGCACCTCGGAACATATTAGCAACAATATGCGAAAGAGTGTCAGAGCGCCTTAGCATTTGTTGCTGAGGTGAAATATTTGGACAGTATATCAAAGGTCCCCCTTTCTTATAACCTGGGCATTCTAGTATAATTACTGTTAAACTAGAATATTAATAATTACTGTGTTGGAATGAATTTGGCCTACTGGATTATATTAGGTTGTCCGGAAATTAATGCCCGTTTTGAATTTCAACCTCAACAAACCACACACTTCTCACTTCTAAATAGGTTGCAAAGTACCGTTCGATAGAGCAAAGCAGGCTCTACAATATGGCCATCTTGCTTTTGCGACAGCTCTCATCCACCTCGAATTCCGAGCTAAAAACTTAAAAGACTCAGCAGCCCGAAAAATCAAAAAAAATCGTAACTCAGTTCATAAAAATCCTACAAAATTTCTTACTTGCTCACGTAAACACTATCCACATAAAGCATCTATATGCGCCTTTGCCGTATTTTTTCCTCTGTTAGAAATCAAGAAAGCGGAAATTTTCGTGCATTTGCCGAAGTCGTGCTGTGCCGTCCCCACATAGATAGTTGTATACTACAAACCTGTAGAAGTACAAACGTAAATTCCCAGCTCTCTACAGGCTTTACTTCTCGAGAAATTTGAATTTTAGCTTGGACCACCTAACTAGGGAAAGCTATATTCGGTATTTCTCGAGAACTAAAGCTTGTAGAGAGCTGAAAATTTGAGTCTGTACTTCTACGGGCATGTGCTATACAACTACCTATGTGGGAACGGCACAGCATTACTTTGGCAGATGCACGAAAATTTCCGTTTTCTTGATTTCTAACAGAGGAAAAAATACGGCAAAGGCGTATATAGATGTTTTATGTGGATAGTGTTTACGTGAGCAAGTAAGAATTTTTGTAGGATTTTTATGAACTGAGTTACGATTTTTTTCGATTTTTCGGGCCGCTGGGTTTTTTTAGTTTTTGGCTCGGAATTCAAGGTGGATGAGAGCTGTCGCAAAAGCAAGATGGCCATATTGTAGAGCTTGCTTTGCTCTATCAAACGGTACTTTGCAACTTATTTAGAAGTGAGAAGTGTGTAAATTATTGAGGTTGAAATTCGAAACGGGCATTAATTTCCGGACAACCTAATAGGTCGTAAAAGGCACTTTTGGCCTACCGTACAAAATTAGGCGTGGCGGTAATGTTGGCTGCACAGACATGTAACTTCACGCCTCGGCCTGTTACCGCGCGATGCGCTGCCTCATCATTGGGATGAAAATGATGGCTTCCTTTGGTTTGGCTAGTCCATCCCGAATATCTATTCTGTTTTCCCGTTACTTGTCTTTCCTCCTGGGGAGTGTTGCGAAAGAAGTGTTGCGAATGAAGAGATTAGATTGTATCTTCTTGCTGCAATCACCGATGAAATCGTTCACTGCTGGATACAGCTAAGTGTGGCACCAAGATAAACAAGCTTCTTGCAACTACTACCAGAAACAATGCTCCATGAATGGGATTTTCTGAAGCTGACTTCTAGCAACAAAACAGCGCTCATAATGTAGATTTTAGTTACAATTTACTAATTACGCGCACAGATCTAGCTGTGAGCGCGTCCTTTGACATGTCATATGACTGCTATACACGAGTTTGATTGTCTTTACTTCCAAGTGAACTGTTTCATTTAGGCGACGTATAAGAATGCGTAGCTTCTCGCCCGTGCACCGACAAATCTTGTTTTTTGAGCTCTTAGCCATCAACAAAGTTGACAAAAAAAGTTTAAAGACCGGTCATGAACGAAAACGATACCTATACTCATTAAAGGATTCGTCAAATTGGAAGAACTACAACATACTTTATGTGACGTTTATCATCAGAAGATAAGCAGCGCAAAACAGAACTGATTATGCAGTGTCTTGATGTCAATTGATTACAATAACTTCCCTCTCCCTTTGACGGCTTTTTTTCAGTTTACAAGGACTAGGATCACGGTCACTATAAAGGGTACCAATTTGGCGTCAATCGCCTGTCCTTGTTGCCGTGTTAATCATTTTCGAGTGTCAAAACAGACTAGACGAGCGTATCACCTTGTTTACTAAAAGACTTAACGGGAAGGATCATTGGTCCAAGTTCCCCTTGAGATTGAGTCGCACATATTTTTGAAGGAAGGAAGTTGATTTCAAATTTGTCTTCCTTGTCTGCGGAACACCTAAGGGTGAAGCTAGACCGTTTCAAAAATCAAAGAGAACGCACAACGAGGAAAAAAGTTTGTGTATAACAGCCTGTACATTCCGCAGTCAGAGTTGTATTCGGGTCTGGGTATGAGACAAAGCTGTTTCCCAGTATGGGTTTGGGACAAAAATTTCTTTGTAAAGAATGCTTTGACAAGCATTTCTGCTTCATCTTAGCCCATGAGATGCTTCTGTTTACGATTTTTCCCTTTCTACGCCTTCCGATCTTCGTTACATAGCCGCTCCGCAGATAAAGAGGACAGACTTAGAAGCGGCTGATGCTTTGCAAAACCATATGTATGCTTATCATCTCGAAAGGCTACTTCGATCAAGGATCCATCCTCAGTTAAGCGACAGCAAACTTGAAGAGAAACAATTTAACTCGAGAGGATATAAATGTGAGGCTTAGCTTTATTTTGAACCTGGTTAGAAGAGAAATTACGAAATTCATGGGGTTCTCAAAACTCAAGCTTGTTGCTGGTCCAGCGGTTCCTTAAAACGTAATCCACGTAAACTGCTGTGACTGGTAGGTAAGTACCTATCTACATATACACACGGCTGTGATATCAGAGCAGCTCATAGCACGACTGGGAATTGATACGTAACGTTGCTGCACATCGACTGTTCATTGCTCCCAAGCAATATGCTACCCACATCAATCCCACGACATATGCTACAGTCTTGTTCTATCGCAGCATAGTTTATTGGACGTAGATTTGCATGCTTCTGCAGTCAACATTACCGTCACGCCTAATTTTGCTTACGGTAGGTCAGAAGTGCCTTTTACAGTCTATAATTCAGTATTTGGCCTAGATACCTGACTTTTGGCTTCTGGTTCTGGTTTTGGTGGTCCAGCTTGTCCAACACAAAGGGGAAATAGCGTGGCTCAGACCGTTTCGTGCACACCTCAAACTTGGGTAATTAAACTTTATTTACCAAGTGAACGACGAAACACAACAACGAAGCGTGAGATACAGAAAGTGAAAATGATGAATGACGAAGATCCTGGATATTTCTGAGCAATAAAGAGAGACTCAAACAGAATGAAATGATAGAGAACAAACATGGAAAAATGGAACCCTAGGATGAACAAGAACTAAAAAACTAAGAAAAGGGCTCAGTGCCCTGCGTGACGATAGAAGTGATCCATCGATACCGCTGGCCCCCTTTTATAGCGGCGCATCGCGCGTTTATCTCCTTTGACTGGGTGCTGCAATGGGTGCTGCGATCCAGCACAATTACTGTTGATTATTGTTTTGTTAGTATTTAGTAAAAACCTGTACGGCACAGAAGATTAAGTGGACGCATTTGGACAGTTTTTCGCACGTTAATTCTGGAAAGCACATCAGAGAGTAACCGAAGGGATGCAACCTTCATATTGTGTGAACTTTATCCCCACTTGTCTGTATCTCTCCGGCTGCTATGCGATCCTACAACGATATCGAGAAATGCAACCGTAACACCTTCCTGCTTGATGAAACAGCTTCATCCAACCGCCTCTTGCCATTTCCTGCTGCTTGGGATCGAGTTGCTGTGGGCCCCATCTAAATCTACTTAACCGGCTGCGCGGGCGGTCGCGCGCGCTCTTCAGTGCGTGCCGGGACCTAGGGCATTGACTTAGGTCACGCTTGCTCACTCAAACTTTGAAAATCACGGTTGCGCATGTTATGCACCCTTCTTGCTGTCAACATCGATGTAGGAAGGGACATATGAATGGTCTTTTAATGTTTATTGAATGACTTTCAGCTCAGCGCGATGGTCAGAGCTCAGAAACTTTACTTGTATTGAGAAAAAAAGCTTTTTTAGTCCAAGTGGGTAGGAAGTCTGCATAAGACAGCTTCCTTCTTCCAAGAAAGGTTATGTTGCAGTAATTGGCATTAACACTTTCATATTGTTTTCATCGTGCTGTTTCACGACAAGTGGCCGTCATTTTATGATTGAAGATGTTTCTTGACTGTACTGATCTGTATAGTACTGATCTGTATACGCTACCATGGACTCACCGTGCCCAGAATCTTTTCACATGCAGCATTTATCATCTATCGCTAAATTTTGTCAAGATAAGGCTTTTTTAACGATCGAAGCTTTTAGAGAAGGGAATTTTAAGCGGCTTGATATCTCTCCTCATACTTCTTATGTTCTTGACTTGGGTCTACATAGGGCCTACAATTGAGCCTCCGCTAACATATCAGTTATTTATTGTGAACTAGAAGAATTGAGAGAGCTTTGCACACGTACAAGTTGATACTTTGAACTCATTGTGCATAATCCACCAATTAGCTTTAACTTTGACAACGTTCGGCGTTCTCGGTCCTTTGATCACGATTTGTTTTGACTTCCCGGTGCGATTTTGTTGGAAGGATTGAAAGTCTAGGCATGACTATGGGGCAGTATTGCTATTGAACAGTTTGTTTAACTAGTCTCTAAAACTTCGAAGACGCTGGTGTTGGAATACAGACTGAATAAAAAGAGCATTTTGTTCTATGGAGGAAAACTAGTGATCAAATATCTCAAATCAGCATCTATAACAATGCAAAACGTACCAAAGAAAGAAGCAATAATACTTTTTTGGAGTGGTATCAATTCTTCTTCGAAAAAACATGATCTTAAGCAATACAGGAAGATCACACTGTTGGAAATGTACACTAATGCGGGCACTGGGGCTCTCGTACAGTGGCCTGCCCTTTCACAGGAACTTTCGCTGCAAAGCAGCTCCAGTATGAGAACGGCATAATTCTTTGGATGGGCAATATGAGAATATGCACTTCTGAGAATGTTCTTTGACCTTCTTCAAGTTCTGAAAGATTCAAAAACATAACCGCGATTTTCCAAGTTTGGGCGAGCAAGCGTGACCCAACCTCAATGTGCTTAGGTCCTACCACGCAGTGAGAAACGCCCGCGGCCGCCCGCGCAGCCGGTTGAGTAGATTTAGATGGCGCCATTGCTGTGTTTATTGCTCTTGCCGCTGAACTTGCGAAGATCGAGCCCTTGCGGCGATCGTGTGTCGTGTCGGAGTGATGGCGACAACTTCGATGCCAGAGCCCCAGCGAACAAAGTTTGCCATTACTGTGTCTTCATCATTGACTTTGGGGAGGAGACATAACTTCAGGAAAAGGGTAGTACACCGAAACGTTGAAGAGTGAAAAAGCAAAGGACTTTCAAGGAAACTTCTTACAAGGAAAGTGTCACAAATCGTAGGTGGTGCGACAGCTACAGGCGTTTTTCCGCACGAGACCCAGCGCCTTGATCTAATACGATTGCCACTCTACTCTGACATTCGGTGCGTGCGGCGCGCGCGCTCCCCGTGCGGCGCTTTGTAGTGCGCGCGGGCCGAACGGTGAATGCGCGCGGGCAGCACGGTATCGTAAGAGCGCCGTCCGCAGGCTACTAGAGAATAAGTTTTTCATGAGGCTTTCTTTTATCCCTTCCGTCGTGCCGTGAGCATTCTCAACTTCACATTCCAAAAAATTCCGAATTTCAAAAAATTCAAAAATCTGAATTTGACTTTTAGAATTCAAAAATTCAAATTCAGCACCCATTCGGGACGCTAGTGAGGGGTAACCTTCGTAGAAGCACAGAATCTCTTATGTTCCTGCGATTACTCAACTGCTAAAAAATGATGAGCCAAATCCACGAATGATGGAACAGCCTAATCACAGCGTCGTACCTCATGCAGGTATCCATTACGCTTATAGCGTTAATTGGAAGCGCGCGGGCGGCACGGTGAGAATGTAGTGCGCGCGGGCCGTACGCTAAGGATTCACGGCGCGCGGGCCGCACGGTGCGTGACCTCGTCCGTAAATCTAGGCGCGCGGGCCGCACTGCTGGCCATTAGCAAGCGCGCCGCACGCACCGAATGTCAGAGTACAACCAGCTGTGTCGGTGCAGCGCAGGAGAAATGTGTTGATTACCGTGCGGTAAGGAACTTATACAATGTGTGTATTAGTAACCACAAGGGGTTTATTTACTGGTGCTCAAAAGTAAATAAGGGTTTTTTTGCGAAGCCTCCTGTACGGGTGGTGAAGCATTTAATCGAATAATACTTTATTGTCAAATTTAGCGTATGACACAAACCCGACACCTCATGCACAAATACTACCAATTTGCTGCTTTTCTTACGAAAGATGTATGTCAGGATGAAAACGAGAAACACAAAAGAGCAATTAACCACAGTCACTACCTTCACTTACCCAAAAATCCGTACAATAAGTCCACCTATCAGATAAGTCCACCCATCAGATAAGTCCGCAGCAGACCGTAGCAGATAAGTCCGCTTTCTTGACAACGAAAGTGGCCCTCGCGCCGCCAAGAGTCCTGCGGATAAGTCCGCTTTCTCATGCTCAGGATAGGCGGCACATATCTGCTGCAGACTTATCTGATAGAGGATTTAGGAGGATTTATCTGCTAGACTTTTGGCAGCACAGAGGGCGATTTTTCATCGATTTTTCGTGTCAAAACTGCAGGTAAGTCCGGACTTATTGTACGAATTTTAGGGTATTTGCGTTTATTTCTGATTTCAGTCTAAAAATGAGAGCTTTACTAACAATAAGTTCGAGCTCTTTTAAACAGATGAGGACCACCTAGCTGCATGCAAATGAACGTTATATGATTGCTTACAATAGCTACAATTGATAACAGATCCATGGTGCGATACTGCAGACGCACATGAAGGCTAGCGACAACTTGAAAGCAGCGCTCGGTAAAACCAACATACCAAAATTTTGATAGAAAGGTTGCTTGCATCCCAAACATGAGAACGGAGCAGGTCCGAGTACACAGCATGCTCCCCTCGACTAGAAAAGTGCCCCTAGACCCGTGCGCGCAAGCCATTCTTACCCGCGCGACGAGCTCGAGAATCCCCTCCGACCTTCAAAGGCGGCATGACGCAATGCCATAAACATGATGGTCCCGCAACGACTCTACGTCTAACCATGACGTGGGCGTTACACTCGTCCAAATTCAAAATGATGAGCCTCGGAATTCGCCGTTTTCGCACTCCTCAAAGTGTATTTTCGGATTTTCTGCGCATCGAAATAACCCAGATAAGCGAAAAAACTTCAGATCGAGGATTTGCCGAGTCACTGCCTTTAACGTAAGTAGATTGTCGTTTTTTCCAGACTGGAATTTTCTGTAAAGATGTGTGGTCCTGAAGCGATCAAGCATAACGATTGTGCAAGTTCAATGACGAAATAGAGTGTCATCAGTCCACTGGAAGTTTGCAGATGCACATCATGTCATCCATTAACTTCCATATCACTTAGTAAATTCTCATACGTTTATGCGGCGCAATATCATGTTCATTTGCTGCATCTTCTCGAATGTCGTCTACGGCTTCGGGTATGCCATCGTTGGGTCACTTTGACAGAATTATGAAACTTCTAGAGAATGAAAACTCTGGCCTGTATCTTCCGCCAAGTGAAGAAAGTAAGTTCTATTTTTCTTATGTAGATTTGTATCGAAATTAGCATAAGTGCAGGTAGATCCTCATGCCACGCTTAAGTTGAAATGGTTTCTCAGAAAATGGCATATATTGTCACCGTTTAGAAGATGTGGTACTATTTATTTCTTTAGCTCGTTATTGCATATATGTTACTTATGATACATAGCTTTCCGACCTCATACTATCAGCATATAAAAACAACTAATCGATTTCGGAAATCCAGAGTTGAGGAAAGTTACTTCAGCACACTCCTAACGACATGGAATGAAATGAGTTCTTACGCTGCTAATAATTCCACCACTATCGCGAAAATAAAAAATTACCAAGGGATTTACTCAACATCGCAGTAAACGATACCCGGCCTGTAAACTACTTGGATTTTCAAAAAGTGATATCCAATATGAACGATGACGGAAATAAAGTGAAAAGGCTGTCATATGATTGATGACGAAAACAAAGTGAAGAGGCCGAAATTTGGGCCTCGTCTTAACGGAAATTGAGATTTTTGCTGCTAGCATATCCGCTGACGAGAGCACAGTAGAAGGTACGCAACTATACTCTCTATATCTTGAAAAGGCACCAGCGGAATTATTATATCAAACTTTTATCAGTATTCTCTCCCTTTA